TTACAGCTGTAGGAAACCTCATATGTATACATGAAAAAAACGTAAAGGGACAAATTACGTATTTGCATAATTGGAAGCTAAGGTAGCACAAGTTAATGGGGATGCTAGTGGAAACATTTTAAACAGCTTGCTGTGATCTATACTTTCCTATTTCGTTCTCCTGTAGTCTTAGGCTACTCCTTCTACTTCAAACACGCAGTGGGTCTGGTCCTTTTGTTACTAGCCTTTCGATGGTATCTTGACAGCAGAACTACATCTTCCTTCTCATTTAATAACTATTTATCATTCTGTATCTGCCCATTTTCAAGAAGGAATAAAGTTAAGTGTTCCAGAAATTGGAAAAAATTGAAGCTTGACCTTTATTAAGTGGGTTAATTGTCACAATCTCAGCATGTATGAAATTAATGACCAAAAAGTGGAACTTCAGAGTTTCAGAAGACTAGGTTAATGTCCAAAAAAGTTTAAACTCTGACCTTCTTGACATATGCCAAAAGAAACAGCCACCCTAATAAATTACTACCTGTGTGCAATTATAATAAACCATTCCTAGCATCCAATCACTTGAATTAATTGCTGCAAGGCAGTAGGGCTCTCTTACAGATATTCAAGTTAATCTAAAAATTCCTTTGCAGTTCATATGAGGCTGTTTGTGAATGCTTGCTTCTGTACAGGGATTCAGTTTCAAAGCACGTTATTCCTACCTTTGGACCACAAATCTGTATATAACACATCTCCTTAGTGCTAAAATTAGGCCTTGGCTGAGTTGCCAGCAGTGGTGAATGTGGTGAACCAAGGAAGAATAAAGGAAAGGCAAATGAATTTGCCTGATACATGACACCTACATAGCTCCCAATTTTGTCTTACAGAGAAGAAACAGAGTCACTTTTTGTAAAAGTCACAACAAATTGCAGAATGATTGAGTCCAACAGTAACTACAAAAAGAAAGTTAAAAACATACAAACAAACTCTGCACACATTAAACAACAGCACAACACAAAAGCTATACACTCGTACAGGGGAAGGTTGGTGGGGACAGCCAAGATTTCTCCTCTGGCCAGTAGTGCCTTTACAGAACAGAAAGGTGATTCCAGCCTGGTGCAAAGCAGCAGAAAAAGCACATAACACCTGCCTGCAAGTGCAACAGGGCATGTGCAGGGACCCAGCTACTGTCAGCTGGAGCACAAAGAAACCAGAACGGGATGGGATAGGCAACCCCACCTTGTCCCTGTTTGGAGGACAAATGAGCTGTGTTCAGGGCTTCAAGCTCACCCATTTTTCAAGAGTGATATATGCTTAATATTAAAAAGAATGCTAAATGTTTAAGTTCAGTTATCTGAGTCTGCTGGTGTCCGGATCCGTGCATAAATAATGGCAATCAGCTGGGAAACAGGAGTGGGGATTCTATTCCCTGTTCTCATGCAGATTTTAAGCAACTTTCTGAAGAAGCAGAGAAAAGTCTCTATGGGCTGTAGATCTATTCCACTGAAATTCACGTTAAACTGCTTGAAGGCACCAGTTGTAATGGTCAGCAGTCCTTATTTTTCTGTCTGAGAGGAACGAGAAAACTATTGTTTGTCTAAAATTACAAAGTTCCAAAAAAAAACAACCCAAAACAAAACTGTATTTTGTGTGGTACAGACCTCCTTTGAAAAATAGAAACAAAAAAGAAATGAGTTCTAGCACAGTGAACACAAGGGTTGGCCTGGAACACTGAATACTCAGGTTCAAAGCTGTGCTCCATCACCTTCGTGCAACAAAAAAGTTCTATATGCAAAAATACGATATGAGTAGGACTAAGCTCTCCAAGTTCAGACACATCGTCCAGGTGACTGTCCTGAGCACAGCACTACCATGGATTTCAGCGTTGCTTCCTGTGGCTCTGAGCAATGCTCTCAGAAGGGACACACAAAGCCCCCCTGTAGCCCCAGCACTGAGCAGCTCTCCTGCAGCAGCCAAGGGGCACAACCAATATATGCTGCTACACAAAACAACTTATTTGGTCGTACTTTAAAGCCTGTTACAGATAATCCAGGAGAATGAATACTAGAGCATTCATATTCAGCAGAGGGCTAAGGAGAAAAAAATAATAAAAAAAAAGTAAAGAAAACAGGTGCTTTGGTTTCTGCTTGGTGCCACAGGACAGGCAATATGGTATTTAGGAAAATGTGAGCGTTGCTGTGTTTTTCACTGAATGAATTCACAGAAATAGCTTCTACTTGTATCGCTAAAGCTGAAGTTAGTGCCATTTACACTGACTTCATAGCTGCTATCCTTTCAGTTGTGAGATCAGCTGAACAGTTCAGTGAATTGAAGGAGACAAAACCCAAAAGAGTCCACGTCCTTTTATGTTTTGCCTTTTCCTCCGAAGTACAACTGAGATTTTTATCTTATTTTAAACATAAATCTTGCACAATTTCCAAGCCTGCTGCACTTGCTAGGAAATAGATGTGGACACCAGAGAAATGCAAAAAACAGCGAGTGACCAATTTCCATGCTGTACTTGGTGCAGTAAGGCACCTGAAGAAGGAAGCGGATGGTAATTATGTGATAGACATGTCATCACATCTGAGTTCAACACGGATTAGAAGTCTTCTTGAGAAAAGAATTGGATGCTGCTTTGTCTGAGTGTTTGGTAGAGCAGTGTTTTGCCTAAACGCTCCTGTTTGGCACAGAGCATGAGGAACACCCAAAACTCACTTTCAGTTCATAAAACCAGGAAAGAGCAGTGGATTTGGGGGAGCACCTTCAATGCATCAGATTGAAATGCTTCAAATCACATTGTTTTGTCATTCCTTCACATCTTTTTATAAGGTAACAACTGGCAGCCATGTGTATTCCATAGTTTCTAACTATACAAATTAGAGAAAAGCAGAACCTTTCAGCATACCAACTTCATGGCTATGATGCTCATTCCTCTGTAAAGGCAAATCAGCTTCAGGAATACAGCCACTGATGAGCTGCACAGATCTTCTACACATATGGCCTTTAAACAGCATCCAGCCTCCATCCTACCTCCAGCCAAAAGGCTCGGCTCACACTCACGACAACACTTAGCCTGTGGTTGATTTTACATACTTTACATTTTTTTTTCAAAGCGGAGATTGTAGCTCTGTTTCATGACTTCAACAACAGGGCTGGAAGCACACAGCCCTGCAGTACAGCCGAAGAAGCTGCAGGTTGTTAGGGAAACGATTCATCAGTAGGTAGGTTCATGCAAAATTCAAAGGGTTTATTTTTTCCCCTCCCATTTTGTTTTTGGAGAACAGTCTAAGAAATCCAAGCGATGTCTTTCTTGCATGAGTACTTCACATAGACAGCTAAACAGAAGCAAGATTTGGCATTTAGCCTGAGATTAGTGTGAACAGCCTCTTAACCAAACATTATGAAGAAAGTTAACTTTAAAATGCTTTGAAAGGTCTGTTTTCATGACAGATGGTAATAAGGGCTCATCAGCGCCAATTTTTTTTTGTTTCCACCTCAGTTTTCAAAAGCTGAAGCTTTAGGTTAGTTCTGAGAAACCGCTACACGTGTAGAGGAGAAATGCAAATTACAAAATGAGATTACTCACTACTTTTATTGTGTGCAACATTTTGCTAAATGACACTAACATCTGAAGAGTAAGAATTTGGCTGCGTGCTTAATAGATCAGTTTCTGTTCACTTGAATCCCCCTTTTAATTGTCAGATAGTTCTCCTTTAACCTTCCTTCACCTGTGCACTTGGACAGTCACTGCTCTTCCCATACGCCACGAGACACAGCAGTCAGCAGCAGGTACAGATTTTGATTGCATAATACACTCTCACTAGGGAAGATATTGTAGAACTATATTTTATTCAAGAAAACCCACACATCCTGTCCTGTGGTGACCACAGGCTTTGCTAAGCCATAGTTATTAGCAAACACTGGAACAAAATACAGTGTATCAGATTGAATCAAAGCATGTAAATTCCGGATTACAGTTATGATTTTCAGGAAAGCTAGATTCAGGATTTCATCATAGTATCTACTACAGTGTTGTGCAATGTAGCTGGCAGAAACAGAAATGGAATATTGGTCCTAATAAGAAGTGATCAGTAACTACTTCGGTATGACATTTAAACTGTCAAGACACCAATTCATGACATTCTACCAAAGGCAGCATATAGTTACAAAAATACTGGTCCAGCATCTCGTTAGTGGTGAAGCAATACCCAAGGTGCAATGGCAACACGCCATTCTTAGTGAAGTATTTTTTAAAAAACTATTTATTTTTTTTTTCCATTTTCCCCACACTGATACTAGCTGAACACCAAAACTGCTATGACAACCTGAAAGTCACTACTTATGTGCATTGCACCAAAAATTTATGCAAAAACACATTTTCCAAGTTGTAGTATGAAAGAAGCAAAATGTAATAAAACTATCTATATGCCAAAAGACACTTAACTGATCTTGGATGAACAGCTTGCAACATTTATTGAACTTTCAACTGCTGTCCAAGCTTCACTCTTTCCAATATCTTAATTTTAAGGAAAAATGGGTAAAAGACAAAGTCCTTAATATTGGGAGGAGCATTAAATCACTTTTATACCTCTCCACTCACTCACAGAATAAAAATGTTCCACCCTCTCCTCCTTCCAACAAACAGGCAATCTCAAAATCAGGCCCTGAAATTACCCTTGTCCTCATATTGCACTATGGGAGGATTGTATTGTTTTCAACTGCAAGTTAAAAAATCGTACGGCGGTGACCAAAATTGCTGGAGGCAGTAAACCTGGTTAACCTGTGGAGGTATCCAGAGAAACGTGCATCAGAAAGACACACTATAAATGGCAAAGTATACTGCAGACTAGGCTTTGGTTTGCACTTGGGCCAAAAAATACATTAGCCTGCCATTTCCTTCAAGAAAACTGTGTCAATGAGCATCTTCAGCAAAAGATGAAGTTGAATAGGATCAAGTAACCACATCACATTCAGTGTTACATCCAACAACAAAGAAATGAAGGAGTAGCAGACAGGAATATTAATCATATTTTCCTTTTAATAACGGTTTAGTCAAAAGTGGAGCTTTGAAAATCTCTAGCTAATTGTGAAAACCTGTAGAAGCTGGGAAGCAACCTCACTTGGAACAGTACATTTTAAAGCTGTGGCTTGGCCTATCTGCTTTCAAACTCTGCAGTAGCACTGCCAACATTGTAAATAACAACAGGTACCACCTGGAAATAAAAAGTCTGCCTTTAAAAGTTGGTGAATGTAGTATTGTAGCAGCCTAACTCTGACTGAAGAAGAAAGATGAGATATTTTCATACAGTAAACAAAGTAAACTGAAATTTTCAGAGATCACTTTAAGTGTATACAATTTGGATTCTCATCAACATTTAGAACTACCGATCATAAGGTTGCCACCTTACCTTTTTCTGGACTGGCATACCTGATTTTAAACAGGTTTTCATCAAGTCTCCCAAGTTTCTGAACATCTTATCCAGTTTTCTGCTGTACTGCTCTCCCACCTTCATGCTGAATACCGAGTCAGTCCTGCCTTCTGCCTTTCTTGGCAGGAAGCAGAGCAAGCTTTTAATTTCGGTAGTCAGAGTGACAGAACAACAAAAGCACAGCAGATAGAAGAGCTTAATTCTTCCCCAGGAAGAAAATACATTTGGTTCAACAAAGGGCTGCAAAATCTTCCAAAGGCACCTCTATCCCCAGTTTTTGCCTGAAAGCAAGATGGCAATCTTAATTGAAAAGGGGTGCTAAACCTTTTTAATAACTTAAAAATTCATTTTTATATAAAGCAGCAAAAACATTTTTCTCTGCAGAAAGAGAAATGTTAACAAAGAAACACACCAACATAAATGCACTGTTCATAAACTTCAGCTAATTTAATTTCACAAGGAAGTCAAATTTTAGAACTATTCTTTAACCTCATCAGTACTTTCTGAAGAAGATTCTTTGGCATCTTCAGTCTCTCTGTTGCTTTCCTCTTTATTTAAATTTTCATTTTCTGATTTGGTCCCATTGAATAGAGAGTTTTCACCATTTACAAACCCATTTTCTGTGACTTCTGCATCCATAGCTTCATCAATCTTTAAGTCCCCTTGCTCTTCCACATTGTCTAGGTTTCTCAAGACAATAGGGAGTCTAGAGTCTGCCACAGTGTTCTCCAACAAGGCAATATTGCTCTCTTCATACTTAGGAAGCGGAGCTCCATCCGCCATTTGTTTGGTATAGTACTCTCGGCTCGCAGCAGCACTCTTTACTGCCTTCTCCAAGATCTCTTTTTCACCTAATCGCAGCTTGATAGCCATTGTCGCATGTGAAGTAAGGTCATGGGTCTCCAAGAAAGACTTATCATCCTGGTAGAGAAGAACAAGCAAATTTTTGTTATCAACAGCCAACAATAGAAGAAACCCCTTAATTTTTCTCTCTTTGCTTTAGCAGTAAGTGACAGTGATCCAAATAGACATATAGGAATGAGGGGGCCTGCATAAAGTTCCAGTGAAATTCGTCGCATATCCATAAAGAAGCCAAACATTTCTCCACATCGGTCAGCCTGCATAACAAACAAAGCCAGGAGACTTCACAAACATACAAAACATATACCCTCAATTAAAATATGCCTGCAGTAGTAGTATGTTTCTTTCCAGTTTGGAGAATACAACTAACAGACAACAAGTTGAAACGGGTACCCAATTTTACTTGCAGAGAAAAAGCAAGTAGCCTTTATTTGGTGAATCAAAGAAAAATTACATTAACAAAATTTTCTTTCTCGCAATCTTATTTGATTTTCCTTAGATAATGCAAATATCTTTCCACACTTTAAGAAGTGCAAAATGAATTATGTACTACCGCTCAGATGAAAGTCTGGAAGGAGAAGATGGGGACAAAATATCTCTTCTTACAATCATAATACTATTTCAGATGTTCAAGTTACATGTAATGATAATTTTACCTCCACCGTTGTTTTATAGGTTTTCAAAAGAAGGGATGCTCTGGCTTCTAGGAATGTCCACAGTTTAACTTCATTGTCCCAGCTAATGGGAAACTCAGAGTTCCCCAGCGTGAAGATTTTATCAATGGCATGCTCGCCTATCAAGTGTTCCTTCAGCTCTTCTGCAATAAGCATAAAACCAATCTGTTAAAAACAATCTTGTCATTCACTTTGTTAGCTGACAAACTGCAGAAAAGTTTATCTTCAAGAGTACAGCTTTGAGCAGCTAAGCAAAAAAATGCTTTCAAACCAGAATTATCAAATATGCTGATTAACTCCAGGATTCTTCTCAAAGAGGCAAAAGAAAGCCTTGCGGTGAGAAGGAGGATCTTCACTCTAAAGTAAGATCTGTTTATTTTAGTATCTCATACACAATGCAACTCTGACAGTGAGATACGATGTTTTGTATCATAACCAATAAACTAAACTGAAAGGAATAATTCTTCAGAGTTTGGTGAACTTTATGATAATAAAAGGAACACGGCAGAGAAAATTGCAAACAATAACAGATCATTTTTTCTAATGTTTCAGAAATTTGTTTCAGCAGCAGAAACAACCTATGGTTGGTCAAAAGAAACACCCATCAAAAACCCTTACAGAGAGTAGAAAATGCTTCATCAGCTCCTTGACATTATGTGAATTCTCTATCAATCTTTAATGATCAAATTTCACTCCTGCAAAGCAGCTTCCACAAACTTCAAGTAAAACTCACCGCAAACAGCAGAATGATGACTGACATCTACAATATAAATTGCTATGTACTTAAATTTCCACTTGTTTACAAGAGGATTACCAAAGTCAGTATCTTTCTCCTAATGAAATAACTCCTTGCATGTAGTTTCCCAATAAACTTACCAGTTTTATCAGGAAGTATTAAGGACACATGAGTAATCAAAGCACAGTCATATCTGGGAAGTGCAATTAAGATGTCCACTCATTGTATTTCCTTTCCCAAGGCAAAATTAACCCCCCTGCAAGATTCTTTACTTGGATTTCTTAAAAAGTTCTAAAAGATGGACAGCAGGATGCAGCAAAGCTGTGACATTAAAGAAGGCAAGCTTTTATAAAAGAAAACAAATAGAACACATGCAAAAAAAATTTAACAGTGCCAATATTCGTACTGATATTAAATCTGTATCATTTGTACAGCATATCTGACTGCAAGGCAATTCTCTTGCTGTCATCTAAGAGTTGTATCTCTTTTCCCCGTGAATCTCTCCAACATAAGAGGGACATAACAAAAATCACTGAGTACATAATTTGAATTTAGACTATAAATTGTCAAAATTCTTTAAACACTCAACTTTGAAACTTCTCTTCCACATTTTTCATACAATATGAAATATCCCAATTCTGCACGTGAATGATTCAGGTAGTAAAGACTGATTTGCTATGATTTTAAGAGTGTAGTAACACCCTAAGTCTCATATCATCTTGTTTTGTGAACCATTTTTAAAACTAGGAAGTAAAGGTCAAGCTCCAAAGCTCATTCACTCAACAACAGCCTGGGAGATGAAATATCAATTGGATCACCTCTTCAGGGGTTCTGAAAGTCTGTGCTACTACAATATTCTTTCAGACAACACTGCCAAAGTGTTGGGGTTTCTCACTGGCTCACAGTTGTGCTTATAACATCAACTCCAGCATATTCCTTTTTCTGATCTTCTATCTTCATGTTCTATATAAATGCCTACCACTGCATAATAAAAACAAACAAACAAAAAATCAAAACTGTAAACAAAAATTGAGATGGTTTTATCTTACCTTCATTCATACAAAACACTCGAAGGAAAGCCAGAAGCTGGGCAGAGATTGGAGGTTCAATGGAGTGCAAGGCAAAAACACTAGAACTAACAAAAGAAGCAATCAAACAAGAGAAAAGACAAGTTCTGTTGTTATGCCTTTGAACTTATTTAAAAAGACCTTAAAGAATATAATAAATGCAGCGTTACAAAAGTAACTTTAGTTTAAGCTGAAGAAAGTCTTTTCTAACCTGTATCTGAAAAGAACAATTATCTCTACAATTTTACACTTACAATGATTTTTATATGGTTTTCATAATAAATGCATGAAAATGCAATGTTTCATGTCTGCTGCTCCTAACAGCACCCTCTGGACTGAAAAGACTAAAGGAAAATGCTGTGGTTCACATACTGAGCATTGTAGTATGTCTGCAAGGGATAGGAAAGAAAGAAAAACCACAGATTACTTCAAATTAATCCTCTCTCTGTTTCTGTTCAAGTGGTTATTAAAGCAAAGACTTTTTTTCCCTTATAGATGGTCCAAATTAGATGGTAATATAGCTCAGAGAACTTCTGTAAATATTATTATAACAACTTTAGTTTACTATACAAACACGAGAAATATTAGACACAAGAAAGCTATCACAGAACAGCTTTATGTATGCATTAATGACATTACATACATTAGAAATGTGGGCTTTTTTTTTAAGAAAAAACAACACTGCATTGTGTTTTACTTACGTTGGGATACCAGCACGAGCTAAGACCTCTGCCTTCATAGCATACAGCCTGTCACTTTTACTCACGCCAAGCTTTATTTTCACTCTGTCATGTGAATTATTATCAAAGAAAAAACCACTGTGGATCACAAATTCAGCGTTTGACCGAGTGCCATAAAAAATGTAAATCTAGAAGGATGAAAAGAGAAGTGAAGGGACAGGAAAAAAAGCTTAAGATTAGCTCACAAATCTGACATAATTTGAAAGTTATTTCTTGGAAAAGTTACTATTCACAGTACAAGTTATACTTGGTCATATGAAGAAACATGCTTTGTTTGATGGCACTGATTCAAATGCTGTATATCACGATAAACTTCATAAAGTCTAGAGGCAGAAGTAAACATATACATGTAACTAAGAAACTGAAAGGAGAGAAAAGATTCTTATTCCATACTTCAAAAAAAAAAAAACTAACTGCTTTGTTTCTCACAATCTCATAAAACACTGGTATTTAGAAACAAGCTTTCAAAGATCCTACACTATCGTGGGCCAAAGAACATTCTGAGATAAGGACAACTCATTTAAAATACTGATGTTTCTGGGGTCATTTTTTCTCCATATGCTCAACACAACAGAGTAATGGAAGGATCAACTTTGGCTGGTTTTAATGTTACCTAAAGACATGGGTATACCAAAGTAAATCATACAGAGAGATCAGTTCCATGTTAAGCCAATATTTTCTCTCGTGCTACACTCCAAACCCTTTATCTAAAGTAAATGCATCACTTTAATTCATACACAAAGATCTGTTCCTAAATTTAACCTGCAAAAAAGTTTACCCAAAAGTGGATAAAAGAAAGGCAGTTCTGCGAAAAGCAGAACAAGCAAAGTCTCTTTTCTTACGGGTGCTTTTGTATCTCATTAATTTTGGTGCCCATAAAGGGCAAAATTCAATTAAGTTTTCTTCTTGTTTGTTACCTGTTGTGGAACAGCGTCCAACTGAGATCTGTTCCCTGTGCCCAGTAGCTGAATTTCCTGAAATACTCACAGGTAGTTAATAATCTTTGATTGCCATTGTGCTGATAAATGTGGTTAAAATACATTTAAAACCTATTAGAGTAATCCACGGCATTACAAACTCACAAGCTGTATGAAGTCTATGGGACAGGAGGTCAGAGTAATAGTAATCTCCTGCATCAAGGGGATATTTTTCCATTTTCCTTGACAATGGAATTGTCAATCAAAAAATAAAGTTTCAGCAGTTACAGAACAACCTGTTTAACTTTAGGGCAGGGCAATGCCGTGGATATGTGAAAGTCTGCACCCCTGGCTAGCTGACAGAAAAAGGCATGATGTTCTCTTAACGGCTCAACAACACTGGCAATGCCATTTACCTTCTTAGTGTTCAGTTTTAGTTAGAAGTATTTGCCCTAAGCACTAAGTGCTCCAATGTTATATTTAATTATAGTAGACATTACACAATAAGGCAGGCATATAAGGAATGAATGACCTGCCTATGAATGCAAGGGCTAAGTCAGGTCAGCAGCCCCCTCCTCCAGGAAGGCCCTTCCAAAAAGTGCTTAGGCAAACCATGGGAAAATGAAATGCCAGTGCAAATCTCCACTTGATTATAGGAAATGTTGCACAATCAGAAGAAACTCTGGCTCAATTAGTCCAGGAGTCCAGTTTGAAAACTACTGCATTATATCTCATATTAAACTGTCACAGTCATGCATACATTATACAGTATTCTCTTACACAAGAAGGCAAATCAGGCCATATGAGAAGCTCCTAAATTTGAGGCCAGTGTTTGATAAGACTCTGTGGACTTCTGCCTCGCTTTGTAGCAGCAAAAGCAGGGATTGTGCACTTTTCCTACTAAAACTGTAAGAAATAACATCTTCACACGATATTAAAAGACTAAACCATTACATAATTAAAACACATTAATGACACTGATAGCAGTTAAAGTTTGCACAGATTATAAATAAATAAATAAATAGCAAAGTGAAACCACTGAAATAAAATTAAAAAGAGAGAAAGCCTCTATAACTGAAATTGAGAGAGCAGCCAGAAAGCTATGCAACACATCTATTGCCAGCTGTGGAAAATTATAAATTGGATCACTTCTGGAAAAAACTGTGGACCCCTTTTAACTCAGCATACTGGTATAGGAAAAACAGCATATATTTGACTACCATAACAAATTTTAAGATCAACACAAAAAAATATACAATCACTGTGAAACACAGCATAGCAATGAGGATAAATATACCTCTGGAAAGCCACACTTAAAAAAATTCATACATATCTTTGCTCAAAAAGAAGGTAACAATACACAAGGAAAATGAAAATCAAAAGACTATAAAGCATAAGACTAGCAAAGTAATACACTTAAAGGTAGTAACTCAGATATACTGAGTTAGAAAACATTTTAGAATGTTTTAAAGGAAAAAGGTCTCTTTTTTTTTTTTTGTCCATGCAGACTGCTATCGCACAAGCAGCAGGAAAAATGGAGTGCAGCAGCACTGAGTGTTTATACTGGCTGCTGACACAGCACAAGAACACTCCCATCAGGAATTTCCTACAGTCCCAAACCACCATCTTCAATGCATCACTTGACAGACTTAGTTTGAACATTCTTTTTTGCTTCTTAGCAGTTCTGAACAGAATACTGGTATCTGAACTGTTCTGTGCATTTTACCAGACTCATTTTTGCTACTTTCTGTTTAAGGATGAAGATGTGTATACATGCAGGAATGTGAGTGGGAAAGGAAAGGAATATATCTTTAGGCTCCTTCTCATTTTCACTAAGCATGATAATGGAAACATGAGTAAAATGATTGACAAGTATACTGCATTTAATCTCCTCTCAGAAACTAACAAGAAAAGTAAAACAACTACATATTCAGAGTCTACAACCTGCCAGTGCAGATAAAGTAAGGTTCCAAATCTAAAATATATTTATCTTTGGTGCTTTGAGTATGAGTCTTTTATTAATCTTTGCTAGAATACTGAAGTCAGTGTCTGTGCGCTCAGCATTGAATAAATATTTCAAGCAGTTATCAAAAACATGAGGAATCAATGCCCTCTTAAAATTGGGGTTCACCAGGTAATGGAAAATCTTTTATTTTGCAAATCATGTATTTGATTAGCTCGGTAGTGTTTTCACACTGAATTAGCTAATGATACTAAAATTCAATTGTAGCAGGGCTTAATTCAAACCACTCTTCTATTATAATTTTATGGGGAGTTTTCAAGTGTCATTTTTTGTGCAAATTTTAGTAGTAGATTAGCAAAACTGTTGCAGCTAATTAAAATCTCTGAAATCAGCATTCTACTGTGCAAGCATCGGTACATACTACCTTTATCAGAGTATTCTTCACTTTCCAGTACATTTCTGCACAAAACTTCATAGAAGAACTATTATGTAGACAACTGTTCACATTACCTGTTCTCCAGCCTTGAAATCTTGAAGTGCTACACATTCACAACGGTCATCTTCTAAATTGTAGCCTGTAGTGATCTATCCAAGGAAAGAGCAATAAAAGGACCGTAAGCATTTTTTTCTATCTCCCCTGGTGTTGATTAAGCATCATCCAAATGGAAAGCTATATTGACAGTAGCAATTGCATATATTTATTTCTCTATCCAATATAATACAGACAGTAATAAATGTTTCATGATTTCTAATCAATCTCTCTTTAAAATTCTCTCTGAATTGCAGAAATCTAAGAAAGGAAATAACTGAAGTGAATGGAAGACTGTGAAACAAAGTATGATAGAATCACAGAATCATAAAATTGCTTGGCTTGGAACCTGTTAGGGTTCCAAGCTCCTTGCCATGGGGGTTGCCACCCACCAGATCAGGCTGCCCAGGGCTCCATCCAACCTGACTCTGAAGACCTCCAGTGATGGGGCATTCACAGTTTCTCTGGGCAACCTGTTCCAGTGCCTCACCACCCCCTGAGTAATTTTCTCCTAATACTTAATGTAAATCCCTCTTCTAGTTTGAAACCGTTACACCTTGTTCTATCACTATTAGACTCTGTAGAAAGTTTGTCTCTCTCCTGCCTATAAGCTCCCCTTATGTACTGAAAGGCAATGAGGTTTCCCTGGGGCGTCCTCTTCTCCAGACTGAACAAGCACAACTCCCTTAATGTTTCTTCACAGAAGAGGTGTTCCAGCCCACTGACAACCTGCATGGTCTCCTATGAACCTGCTCCAACAGTTCCACATCTTTCTTGCAGTGGGGCCCCCTGATGTGGATGCAGTATTTCAGATGGGACCTCACAAGGGCAGAGTACAGGGAGACAATCACTTTTCTCACTCTGCTGGCCACAGCTGGTAAAGATGCTGAAGAGCACAGGTTCAAAGACAGACTCTTGGGGGATACCACTTGTCACCGACTGTCTCCCCTACTTGTTCCATGCTAAAGCCAGCTGTTTCTTATAAAAAGTTCTTGAGCTTTCTGTCACTCCCAGGAGTGCCCGCAGGAGCCTATGACAGTTCTACATTGTGTTTTATCCTTCAACTACTGGCATATTTTTGATCTCCCAGTGAAAATGGATTAGATGACTGTAGTGGATATAATCTTCAGAAAATTATAATCTACATGCAAATAATCTCTTTATCTGAAGTTAGATCATATCCTTAACACGCTAACAGGATTTTTCTTTTAGTAGACAATGGAAGAGGGCAAATTTCTTGACCAACCTGCACTTCATCAGAACGATCAAGTATTCACACCAGCAAGTAAGGCTATTCTAAAAATGTAATACTTTGCCATTACTTTGAATATTATTATAAACATACAGACACAGATGCAAATAGAGGCTGAAACAAAATCTGTCGCACAATCAGAAAACAACTATTATGGCAGGCGTTCTGAATTTAGTCTGAATTTAAAAAGCTAACTTATTGAAAAATATGCTCTACAGGAAAACTTAGAAGAAGCCGAAGTTTCTTTATCGGTCTTTATAAATGAATAAACATTTCTTTATAAGCTGACTTAAAATCAAGTTTAACTACACTATGATTCCCATCTTGGATGAAATTTGTCCAAAGACAGAACTCCATGGGTTATTTTGAAAGCCTGGTCAATGGTTTACATATTAATAGCTTTACACTGCTTGCATAACCAAAGGTGCATTTGTAAGCCAAAACAATGCTTTCAAAGTGACCACAGGGAACTTGCCTCAGACGCAGCACATCCAAAATGGCAGCCACAAGCTAGGGCAGCCTGGCCCTGTGGGACACTTGCGTAACTGCACTGCACACAGATGCCACCACTTAAGATCTATTAAAAGGACTTGCGGTGTGCTGAGATCAGAAGAGAACATTAGAGTCATGCAACACAGGCTACTGCAAAAGACAGGCTGCAGTGTTTCAACACACGAGTTCCTGTGCTTTCATTATGCTGGATTGAACAATTTCTAATTAAGATCCACCATTTACAAAGTTATTCAACCTTGAACTGACAGTTGCAAGTGAAGAGGATTTGCCCTCACTATTACAAGGTATCCTCCTGGTTGTAATATGGTAATACAGTTACCTTCTCAAAAACCGCCAAGAGCATTCAAAAGAAAAGAGAAAACTCTTGACACCATTTGACCTGTCCTGATTTATTTTTTTTCAAGTGTAAACTCAATGAAATATATGAACACTCCTTTCCAGGCTCTCCAAAGGACTGTGTAACAGGAGAATTTCAAGAATTGGAAGAATTCCAGTACGTTAAGGGAAGGATTTGGTCAGTTTAAGCACGCTTCACTAGACTACCACTACTGTTTTGAGGCTGTTATTTCTCTTTCTTTTATGGGTTGAGTGGTGTTGTTTTATTTCCTTTGTTTTAAACAGTAGCACATCTGAAAGGCTTTTCTGAAAAGCATAATGGAGTGCTAGACTTACTTCCTCTTTCTTTTAATAACAGTCATGTAACAGAATTAACAGGGTGATTACTTCTCTTTCCACATCATGGCTGACAAATTGCATCCCTCCAGTTTTATTTCTGAAGCAGACCTGCATATGAATTTCAAGTTTTGCTTAAAGCATACAGTACTCTGCTTGGTCAGTGATTATGGATGGACCCAGCCCAATAGGCAGAGCGTAGCCTATTTAAAGCTCTGGCAGAACTGGTAATCAACCTCTGACTGTCAAAATACAATCCCACTAAAGAATAACAATGAGAAATGCATGAAGACAACCATTTTGATATAGTTCTTAGAGGAAGGTTGATCTAATTAATACTGTCAGAAGCACGAAAAAGCAGGATGGACCTGGCTACAGTTAAAACCCAAAGAGCATTTTATTACCCACTTGGGCAATGGGGCCCTGTAGAAAACAGCAAGAACAGGAATACGTAGTAGGCCACTGACTCAGGAAGCATTTCAGTATCTTTGGAATAGACTACAGTGGTACATACAATACCATCTCTCATGTCTTATTTTCATACAGTAAACTGTTTATTCCATGTGCTATAGCTACAGCAGAATCCACCCTCATCCCACTCTACAGCAACATAAACCACAACACAGGCAGCTTACAGTTACCTTAGCAGTTTTTTTTTTCTTCTCAATTTCTACTATACAACACACAGAATGAAAAATGCTGAGCAGCTTTTCTTACTGCCAGTGTTCTAGTTGTCTGTCCTTCCTAAGCCTATAGCTATTTTAAAGTAGCTTGTGTGGAAATATGAAACAAATGAGTAAAGTCTGTACAGAAATTCAAATTATTTAAGATTCCTCCCTTCCCCTCTTCTCTTTTTTAGGATACACTTAAGCATTAAACATTGCTTAGAGCCCTGATATACTACTGCACTAGCAGGTTTGGCTCCAGACACTGGCTCCATATCAAACCCAATGTAAAGGAACATAATAAAGATAAAAAATTACTTTATCAATTTAAATATAAGTTTGAATGGCTAAAACAACATACCTAACTGCTCTTTTAATATGGGCTAGTTATTTTTTTCCCTCCCAGAACCTTAATTCTCTTCCCCTTTCCCTTTAATCCCAACTTTGAAGGCATTCATTAAGGGCTGTCTAATGAATACAGGCAAGTCCCTGCAAAAGTATCATAAAGAGAAGCCCAGCAGAAGGGTACAAGAAGTACTGATGCATGCAGCTAAGACTTACATTACAAAAATATACATTTGTGAATTCAAAGCAATTTTCTTGATACCAGAGATTCTCATACAAGAGAAATCAAAGTTGTGAGACTGCAAAAATAGTGAAAAGCAAGAATCAGTACTAGAACACAGGAGAAAAAAAATACAATAGCCAAACGTGCAACTTTGTAGCCTGGCTTTTGGTGCTTAATTGGAACAATCATGGTAACAATAAATTAACTAAGTATTAAGTGAAACACTACTTGTTTTACATTTTGTTCATGTAAAGGAAGCTTTTCTTACAGCAACAATAGTAACACATGCTGTTGTCCTAACACTCACATCAACTCTCCTACAAAAGGACTAGATTACTTGAAATAGAATGGTCATATTTACTACTTAAATAATACTATTTACTGGAAATAAAATTTTAGAATGTAAATCTTGAAGCATACACAACATTGGCTAAACAACACTGATAAACTGTCCTCTTACAGTTTTCCATTTCCTCACTTCAACATTAACTAGCCTGTTAATGAAATCAAGACCTTATCCTCTAAACCAGCTCACGTAAGAAAAACCTTAGCAGAGATTTTCCATACATGTGTCACCTTTTAAATGTTTAATATGCCCTAAAGTAGCATTTTTGCATTTTGTTTCTTTGATGTAGTAACTGTTTTTGTTGAACTGGGCTTTGTTCTTGTCATTGCTGTCTCCATAACAAGGTTCTCTGGGCACAGTTAAAAGAGCAGGCAGTGTTTCTTAGCTGCAAATTTCTAACCACTTTCCTTTATGGTAGCTATAAGAGGTAACCCTCCATCACTGCTGACTTTCATATTCTCAGTACAGATCTATTTAGTATTGCAAATCTTTGTCAGATTAGTCAGAAACTCTATGTCAGAAAAATGGCTGGAAAAAAAAAGAGGTATCGTGTAGCTGGAACACAACTGTATACAATCATTTCTAAATGCTTGTTTAAATGAAGAAAGCTCTCCTGAAAAACTAATATAAGACATTTAAGAAATTGATAAATCTTTCTTTCAGCTGTAAGATTTTTTTAGGGTCAAGTCAGAAAGATAAAATAACTGTATTAAGAAGTGTAATGAAAAGTTACTAAAACTGTTTGCTGGCATTTGAAAGGCTTAATACTTAAGTCTTAAAGCCTTTCAACAACGCTGAAGTAAACCTTACCAGTCCATTAGTATGATTACACATGTCCCATAGAGGTATTAGAGCCAACGTAACTCTGGAACCATCTTCTGTTGGAATCTGGTTCTGCCGTGTCATAACAGAGGAAACTGCCCATCTACCAAAATAAAGAACATTAGGTGTTCATGCTCAATACATCAATGTACAGAGAGCCTGTAACACACATCTGGAGCAGACATTTACACAAGGAATTTCCAATTTTTTTTTTTAATAATATGTTAATAACAGCAAGAGGTAACAGAAGAATCATTCAAAACCCTTCTAAGTCGGGTTAAGTGAATGAAATTCCAGCTATGTATTCAAACACAGGAATCTTTGGAAAAGCTGAATATCCCAGTATTTTCTAAACATTTCTGGAATTCCATTTCATTGCATTTCAGACAAAAAGGAATATCTAATGACAGAAAATAGAAATCTTCAAGTATCACTATGCTCTGGTCTTAGTATACACATCACTGCTCTTCTTGAAAAAACAAACACCACCAGGAGAAGGTCAAAAGAATTTTAACTCCCCAGACTCCATTAATAGTAACAGGATTAGACTTTCAGAAGGTTTGGTGTTTTTTTTTCCTGAAGTGCTCCAGATTGCTTACAAAGGTATGGTCAACTTGAATTTTAATTCATTTCTTAAATAACAAGTTAAAACCATGGATAGCTTTGCTATACAATTTCAATACAAACATCATTTGAAACATAACAGTAGGATTTTTTTTTTTATCTGAAAAATTTTAGACCACTTCACTTGCAAGTTGGCATGTTCCTCTGCAGCTTTGTAAGTGAAGCAGGCATGCTTCAGATGTGTCAGTTTCATAGACTTACCCAGAAGCTTCTCAGACCTCATGAATGCCTTTTACTCCAGCTATTTTAATCACTTAACAGAATTTAGCTCATCATTTTAATTATTCTTATTTTTATTGTAATTATGTCACCCCCCCATATTACCTCCGAGTGACATTCAAGGTTCATATCTACAACTTAAGTTTTCCAGCTTTCCAGTTCAACATCCACTGTAAATATTTGCTACTACGCATTGGTAAAGCCTCTTACAAAATAAAATCTAAAAAAAAAACCCACAAAAACAAAACAAACAGCAAAATGAACCGAATTATTTTCTTAAAAAATAACCAATTACCTTACTAATCTCAAACTGCATGTGCCAGTTGGCTAAATTTACTACTCATGACTATTCCTTTGAAACTATTAAAATACGCATATTTATTTTACTTTCCTCATTAAGTATATTAGTATCAAACCCTACGTTTAACATTTAAGACTGTGCTTTCCCATCAATGAAGCATTACCAGGGCCCATCAGTTCACACACAGCAAAAAAGAATTAAAACAGACAGACCAACCTGTAGTCGTCATAAGTGAAAGAATCCTTTAAGGGCAGTTTGCTGGCATTAGGATGGGTCTGGGAAACACAAGTTTCAGAAAAAGGTGGAAAGAGAAAGAAAACAGAAATCAGTCAGCAGAATTTCATTATTTAGCTGCCTAACAGATCCTAACAAGAGCCAAATGAAGCAGGAGGCGTCCAGCCGCGCTACAGAGGGATCATCATGCTATTATGCTCTCATACATCACTGTCAACTTAATTTGTTGTGCCCAGCAGCCGCCATAAATCTGTTTCTTCATATTTCAGGACTGGAACTCACAGACATCATACAAAAATAATAATAAAAAAAATAAGGTGGACTGAGTATGCAAAGGTAAAACAAAACACAGCTCTGCAGGGAGGGAGAAAGAAATCAGACAATAAACACACATTAGGTTTCAGCAGCTCTCTCCATTTCCTCTTTCCTGCAATAGCAGTAAAGCACTTCACTTGTTCAAGGAAAAGAATACGTTTTTCATTTCTTCCCCTATACCTGTAGTAGTCGTTGTTTTTTTTTGTTTGTTTGTTTGTTTTTTCAGTAAAAGCTGCACTTCACTTCAGAAATCAAACCGATTAAAATATTTACAAAGCCTTGGTGACAAACAGATGAGACTATATACCTACATCAACAGTCCACACATACCCTGCTTTAAAAGCAAAGTAACCCCACTCGAGAAAGCCAATTGTAGTCCTCGCTGACAAGCAAAATCTATAGATTTGTAAAAGGCTTTAAGTAGCCCTAATGCCTGCTACTTCCCTAATGAATTGACTTGTTTCAACTTGCAAACAACACAGGTAGTTTTCAGCCCACACTCGCACACTTCAGAACTTCATCCCAGCTCGCAAGCGGAAAGCCATAACAACATAAATTCTACTCTTCAGGTTCAATTAGGTCTCAGAGACAAATTGAAGCCAGTGATCAAACGTTATTTCAAAAGATACTGATGAATGCTGCCCAGCTCTGTCCCCGTGACGCTGTAAGGCAGCAGCTCCATGCAGCGCCTTACTCCTGATGCATTAGCATCACAAGTGCGCGGCAATTCATCATCGCTCTCCGTAATGTACTTGCTGGCACGGTGTGCAGGACAGTAGGGGATGAGGTAAAAGTGGCTCAAACCGTAAATCAATTAGAAAACAAAAGCTTGCGCTCAACGCACAATTTTAGGCAAATTATATATTACAAAAGACTGCCAATTGGGTGCTCGGTCCCAGGTGCCCCTCGGTTAACCCTTCGGGCGAGTTAGCGCTAGACGCCGCCGTCCTCCCCCTCGCCTTTTGGTTGCGTTTTAAAGCGCACTGCCGCCAATTTTCCATCACGCCGGTGAGCTGGGCCCGGCACGGCACGGCACGGCAAGGCACGGCAAGGCACGGCAAGGCACGGCACGGCTTTCCTTGCAGCGGCACTTAACGGAACTGTCGCCTCTCACCGAGCCGTGCAAACAAACCCAAGAGACACCCCGAGCAGCACGCTTCGGGAGACGCCTGGCCCGCGTTTGTTCTTACAAATTCCGTCTCCCACGTTATTCCTTCGCGACAATTTCACGTCAGTGTTTTATTGCTAGCATTAACGATCGGTTCTACAGCGACAGGACGCGATGCACTAAGCGGAGAAAGCCCGCAGGCAGGAGCCGGCCCGGCCGTGCCCCGCGCCGCACGGCGCCTCAGCGGAGGGCCGCCCCTGCCACCTGCCGGCCAAAGGCGGAACGGCGCCTCGTCCGGCCGGGCGCGGAGCGGGTCGGGGCAGATGAAGGACGACGAAAGCCCCCCTAGCAGCTGTCGTGACCGGCGTTCGGCAAGAAGGGTCCGAATGTAAGGAACCAACTTGAATTTTGGGATTCCACTACGTGCTCCGCAGACTGCCCCGTTCGTAACTCCCTCCAACTCTGCTCTGAGACAGCCCAGGCATCACTCACATAAACACCAGCAAATTATAGTAAGGTATAGTCAATAGCCTTCTAATAAAAGACACAAGGCAGAATACAAACCCTGGTGTACATGATTACCATATTTATAACATTTTGTGACACGAGAAACTAGCAGCTATTTAAAAGTTAAGATGCTCCAATGTCAGCACATTTATGTTAGCTTTCTGACCTGGGCTATGCTGGTATTAACTTAAAAACTCTACAGATTATAAGAATCTGAAGACACACAAAAAAGAACAATATTCTGATTAAAAAATTGATTTAGTATGCAGCTTCTCTTTATGGTCCCTTGGTAAAAATGAAATCTCCCTAACAAACACTTAATAAAACCTGTCAATATATCTAGAAAGAAAAATGACACAAATGCATTAAGTATTAAATACCCTTGAAAAAAAGTCACATATTCCATGAATTTTTGATGCACTATCTTGACATTAATGTAAAACCTTGATATTTATAATTGACAGATATTTAATAAAGTATAGAAGATGTCTGCTGCATAGCATGCAAATTGCTTAGACTGATCAAAAAGATACAGACGTATTTAAACTAAACAAACACTTGATATGTAAAAAAACCCAATAAACCAGACCTAGCTTTTATCGGTTTATACACCTAGGTCTCTATAGATTAGCTATGAAGCATGACATATCCACCACATGAATCCTGATTTTAACTTCCCAAGTCTGTTATGAAGTAGTTTCATAAAGTTGGGAGGGGAAAAGCTTTAAATAAAAAATGGAAACATGAAATGTGAATATATTCATTTAGATGCAGGTCCTGACATTCTACTGAAAGAGTTATTATAAAGAACAAATACCATCTATTTAGTTACCCTCTCTGTGAAAATATTGTCAGAGCTGGCAATCAGGGTGATGACCACTGCAAAAACAAATAGCAGCATGTTGAATTTCATTTTCCTCCTGATGCTGCTATTCTTAAAGAAAAAAAATAAAAAATGTTTCTTCCCCTTCAGCGTTCCAAGCCTTCTTTGAGACATTTGGAGGATATCTCAAAATAACCAAAAATATTAAAAAGTAACAGTGATTGCTGCCAGATTGTCTGCAGCCACTGTGGAAAGAGACAGACTGTTATTCTAGTCACCTAAAACACTATCAGACTAGAAGCCAGTTACACAGTATGGCAACCGGATAAAGGGGGGAAAAAAATCCCCAACAACAAGAAAAAAGGCTTCTAAATATTTTTCTCTCTGGAAAGCAGTGATATCCAAGGGTTCACATCTCATGTTCAGCGTTGCACGAGAAAGCACAACTCCTGATGCCCCCAGAGGGGCCTTCACACTAATAATTTCCTCATCATGTTTTTGGACGGGCTTTAGAAGATTAATGATTCTCAAATCCCAACCTTGACGTTAGATGACTCCTCCACTTTTGAGGGGGCTTATTTTTATTTGGACAGGATGAAGGATTAGATGTAGAAAGGGTGGGTGCCTTTCCAGCTGAGAAGCCATCACAACCTCACTCCTGCTATCCAGCCTACACAAGCATTAACCTCCTGTACAAGAATGGGTAGACTATTAGAGACTACACCCCTTGCCCCATTCAATCATGAAATGCCAAAGCTCATTTATCAGAGCTCCCAATCTCAACAAAGGCCATCAACAATCTCAACAACTGCCATTAAAAGGAGCTTAATATCTGCTTCTTTACCAAGTGATGCTGTGTACAAGTCCTATTACTGTAACATGCAATAAAGCTTCTGGATAAAATCAGAACTAGAGTTTACAAAGTGTTAAATTTGCATTTATATGTATGCTGCTACTTTTCGGGAAAAGAACTGATGTATGTGCAAAGACATGTTGGCCAGCATATTTCTTTGTACAATTAGCCCTTCCATTTCATGAAGAAGAAAAAGCTAACAGAATCACTGGATATAATCAAAGTGAATGGAGTTTTTTTTGTTCTCTTTTTTTGTTCTTTTTTTTGGAAGACACCACCTCTAAGTTGAGATAAGCCACCCACCTGAGTAATCTACTACTCCACTCTAATACCTAACTAGAAAACAGTCCTTGTTTAAATCACTTTTCTGCATTTTAACTCAACACTGTACACATCCTTCGAGTAGTGACAGACCCATGAATAAGTTTCACGTGTTTATAGATACAGAGGTGGTTGAACTTCTGTGAAGGACATTTCAAGTACACACAAGTCCAAGGAAAAGTAACAGACAATCTCTGTATCAATATTAGTAAATCAGATTTCAATATTCTCAAGAACCTCTTGTGTACTGCTAAAGTAGAAACAGCTCCATTTCTATGTTGAGAAAGCATCATATGAAGTGCTGAGATTATATTGAGGATATCATTCCCCACCCCAGCAACCCTAAATTAAAACACTAAGAGTACTCGAAACCAAGTCAAAGCCAAAAACAGTTTAAACTTCCACCCTGTTAACTTTAATTCCTTTGAACAAAAAGCCCAAGGGTTTGTTCCTTTTGACCAAATTTATTTCCTCCCCTTCTTTACAGATTCTTCCCTCTTTCCAGTGTACTCATTAGCATGGGGAGATTTTGTTATGAGCCTTGTTGGATGCTACTTGATGGTTTCGGGCCAATGTGTAGGTGTATGAAAACACAAACACACACCACACACACACTTTCAGGGCCAGAAGCAGGAAGATCTGTCAGCATTTGCTGGTTACTGTCCCTTTCCTAGTTCTGGAAATCCTTTGAAGCAGCAGCCTTGAAGAGAAACTCCTCTCTGTGGAGCAGCTGAGGCTTTAACTGCCCTAAAGCTAAGTAAAATAAAGAATTCAGAATGGAGGATCCTAGTGATCTACAGGGAAACAAGAATTCTTTTTTTCCATTGGACGTATGCTGCCTAACCTAACAAGGGAAAGCCAGTTCACCATACAGGATAGGAGAAAAAGCTGAAGATTATTTTACTTTGTAATAACATTTTATAACTACAGAGGCTTGCTTTGGAATTTTCAAACAGCCTGATTCATTAAGCATTAGGAATTAGATCTACAAATGTACTGATGACTGTTACATGATTTTTCTTATGGAAGAAAGACAATCCTACTCCACAAAATCCAATCCTAAAATTAAAGATGTATTGCAGGACTGAAACTTATTAAACTAAGTAACAGTGTT